GTTATTCCGACGGTAAATGTGTTGTAAATACGAAAACACGAAAGTACTGTACGAGTTGTCGATTGAATAAATGTTTTCAAAAGGGCATGAAAAGTGTAAGTATTTTTTTGAATAAAAGTATTGCACTCAGACCTCAAGATATGGGGTCATTTTTACAGAAACGGAAATTCAAAAAAATGGTTATGTGGCAAAGGGGCAAATGTCAATTTAAATTAGAGTAATATGATTAAAGTGTTTAATCATATGCAATTCAAAAAATATTTATTGTAAAAGTAATATAAAAAGACAACAAACATAGAAATATGAGTTTGAATAAAACCCAAGGTTATATAATGTCTTTGCAATAATTGCATGAATTAATATGCTCATATAAATATGTTTATTATATTTAAACGCGTAAATTATATTTTAATACGGAATTAAGGTTTTAAATTTGTTGTAGCGTTAAGAAATATTTGGAAAAATGTTAAATTTCAATTTTTTTTAATGTTATTAATATTTAATATATCATCGTAATTATATAGAAAATAAACTAACTACAATCAAACCCTCAGTTACCACAAGTAAGCCTGATACATACTGAGGGCGATAAGGACCGAATCCGGGCACTGAATTAGTTAATTTTCTCCACAATTTATTGTCCAAAAATTATGATCGACACCTTAAATTAATCGTTGAATAACAATCTATTGATTAAAGTCATCGGTTGTGATCAAAACATTATGGGGTACCAATAATCTGGGCCGAAAGTTGCCGACACAGTTTATGGCCTTTTAATGGTCAAGTGGGCGGGTTTGAGGACAATTGGTACAATCTATTGATTAAAGTCATCGGTTGTGATCAAAACATTATGGGGTACCAATAATCTGGGCCGAAAGTTGCCGACACAGTTTATGGCCTTTTAATGTTCAAGTGGGCGGGTTTGAGGACAATTGGTGACATCGTAAAGCCGATTATCAGATTTTAAAAAAGATTTACTCATTCATTTAAGAATTTAGGCTTAAAACCATCGTCAAGCTTAGAGGCCTTTTAATGGTCAAGTGGGCGGGTTTGAGGACAATTGGTGACATCGTGAAGCCGATTATCAGATTTTAAAAAAGATTTACTCATTAAATTAAGAATTTAGGCTTAAAACCATCGTCAAGCTTAGAAAACCAGAGATAATCGGTGATAATGGTTAGATAAAATGTTGGAAAAATCAGACTTTAAAAAATAGTCTTAAAATTGTAACTTTAGTCCGCAACATTCGGGTCATTCTCTAACATCCCATAATATTTTAATCACAACTATTTACTTTACAAAATAGATTGCTATTCAATTATTAATTTAAGGTATCAATCATAATTTTTGGACAATAAATTGCGGAGAAAATTAACTAATTCAGTGCCCGGATTCGGTCATTATCGCCCTCAGTACAGTGAGCCATCCCCAAAATTGTCAAAAACTAAACCAAAATATACTTCGTGGCTCGAGCATAAGGAATTATTTTTCCCGGAAGATATTAAAGACCAAATAACGATACTTAATTAAATATTAATTACAAAAAGGTATTAGTGGGCTCAGGAGGCCATGTATGTTAATCTATGCTTTATATATTTGATAATGTTTTACAAATGTTTTATTAATATCAATATACAATTATTTTGATAAATAAATGAATATTAATGTTATTTTAATTGAATTTGATTGATTTTTATTTGCTAAAGGAGATTCAAAAAACCATTTTTTTTGAATTTCCGTTTCTGTAAAAATGACCCCATATCTTGAGGTCTGAGTGCACTTTATTATTGTAGATTTTATAAATGTTTGCCAGCTTAACATTATTTTATACATTATTTACTATGAATGAAAAATTGTTTTAAACTTTATTTATGTTAAACAGGAGTTAATTAAAAGCAAAGAATATCTGAAATATGATTACACTGTAAATAAAGTGAAAAAACCAATGAATACAAGACTTAAGAAATGCGATCAATTGGCAATCCATTCACCCATAGAAAGTGTCCCGGATGAAAGTTATGAAAATGATTTAATTGATAAAATCATTGAGAGTAATGAAAACATCGATGAGAACCTAATCACAGAAATTGCAAACTATTGCACCAATGAGTCGAACAACTCGTATGAAAATGGTGTCGAAATATATAAGAGTTTTGAGATTCAATCAGTTTTCAAACAACTATCTGATCACAAAAGTTTCAATGATTTAGAGTCCAGATTATTATCCGAGTTGTTCAACACATTCAACGTGATTAATTATATGTCACGTTTGACCAAGAACTATTATTACATCACAGATATCGCAGAGCTCTATAGAGTATCGTGTGAGATTATTAGCAGGGATATCTCACACTTGACCAATTACTCAAAACACTTGACTACGTTTAATAAAATGTGTCCAGGTGATCAGTTGGCACTCATAAAGTACGGGTCTCTGGAGGTTCTTATTCTTAGGTATTCCACACTTTATAATATAAATACTGAGTGTTGGGCTGGAGTTGTGGTCAGTATATTATTACTAATAATTTATCAATATTAGAAAATATTAAATATTAAAAATTAAATATTACTAAATTTTGTATATAATTAATATACAGGATTCAGACAGCTCATTTGTGATTAAACTGGATATATTAAAACCTGAGAAACGCAACATTTACTCAATTTATAAAAATTATTTCAATAAATTACTCCCGGAGTGGAACCGGGATTTTATTATATTAGATTTGGTATAAAATATTAATTAATTTTAATTCATTGGTTAATAATTTTGTTTATATAAATAGTTGACAGCAATAGTACTTTTTAATCCGAATCGACCCAATCTTATACACAGAGATGTGGTTAAGTATGTGATTGTTATTTGAAATGATTTTATTTAAAAATTATTTTTTATGGTTTGTTACTCACTTGTTAGAGCCGAACAGCAATTGTATATCTATTTACTCCAACGCTATCTGTATTTGAAGTACCGCTCGGAATACGATTCTCAACAAAAACTTTCAATACTAATGAATATTTTAATGGATTTACATATTGTCACTGAGATTGAGATCAGAAATGGTTACGACTGTTATTTACCATATTATTCACCATTTCTTAGGGAAATACTTTTTAATATGACTTCATCGCAATAGTTTTAATAGTGGTACCGGTAATATAAATGTTGTTTTTAAAATATTTGTGTAAAACGAAATTAATAATTTCTAATAAATTCTGTGAAAACTGAAACTGATGTTAATTAATATGATTTACAATTTATTATAGCTAATTAGATTACTATAAAAACATATTGCATTTAAATCTATAAAATAAATATTAATTTTAAAGAAATTAAATGTAAATATTATTCATTAAACAAAAAGGGATCTTAAATATGAGTCTAACTCATGATTCCGGGACCGGGAGTCGGTTTGGCCTCTTTTGTCTCGGAGTAGGGCTGAGTCGGAATGGTCTCCTCCTCCTCCTTGGGCTCATGAATGACCACTTTGTCGGGCAGAGGTATCTTTGGGCCCTTCTTTCCAGTCTTATCCCAGGGTAACATTATTTTCACTTTAATTCCGAGCACTCCCTGTTTGAGGAGTACGTGCCTGACAGCGGTGTCCACGTAGTCGTTGGTGGGCTGTCCCGAGTGGATCATCAGCCCGTCCACAAACTTCATGCTCTTAGCCCTCTGTCCCCTCAACTTCC